ATGAAAATGTTCTTAATTGGCTAACGGAGGTAAACACAAGGACCAAATTGGCCAAATTGAAAATACAGAGACTAAATTGATCTAATGACTAAAACACATGGACTATTTTAACATTTAAGCCAAGAAATAATATATTTTAACATTTACGCATATAGATGAGTTTCCCCAGGACAAGAAATCTCTACCCACAGCAAGTCAACACCCTGCCTTCTCTTCTCAAAACCTTGCCTGGCAGGCAGCATAAATGCTGCTGCATACACCGGAAACTTATTATGGGGCCATTCTATTTGGGCTTTCTTGTTTATTTTCTGATCTTAGGCTCCACTCGCTTGTCTTTACTCTCTTAATCTACCCAGATTTTGAAGTTCCCTCCCATAATGATCGGTTCCAATTCAATAAAGATCTTGATTTTGAAATCTCTTTCCAGGGACCAGCTCCAGCAGGACCTAAGGCCATCTCCAACCGAGGGCTGGCCAGAGGGCTCGTTTTAGCCCTCTGGCCCTCCAAGATTCCCCAAGATATTAATATTTTAATGAACAGTACAGGGCCATATTGCCTCCGTCTCCAACCGAGGGCCAAAAGGCTCGTTTTAGCCCTGTCACGAAAAAGCCGTCTCTCAAACCGAGGGCCAAAGGGCCATAGGGCCAAACATAATTTATTATTTAAAAACTACAATTTAATGTTGTATAAATAGCTTAGGAAGTTATACGAAAAAAAAAATTGAAAAAAAAATATGAAACAAATTTTGTGAAATATGAAGTTATAGGAAAACAAATATGAAACAAAATTTGATTCATATGAAAAGGAAAAAAAAAGGGAAAAATAGAAGTTTAAATTCATTAAAAAAAAAAAAGAAGTTTAAATTCATTAAAAAAAAAAAAAGGCCTAATATATCCAACGGCTACTAGCCGTTATATTAAAAAACATTTCAAACTATTAGTGTCGGTTATAACCGACACTAATAGTAGAACTATTAAAAAAAAAATATCTTTAATGTTGTCGGTTATAATCGACAGCAATAGGAAATCATTAAAAAAAAAATAGCCAGCCCGGGGCTGGCTGGCCCGGAAAGCAACCAGCCCTCCAGCCCTCTCCGATCCCGTGGGGCCCTCCCAGATTCCAGATTCCCTCTGGCCTAAGCCCTCGGTTGGAGACGGTTTTAGGACTATTTTCGGCCATCTGGTCCTCTGGACCCTTCGGTTGGAGATGGCCTAAGTCGCTAGGCAGGAACCAAGCTTTGGTCTCTGACGTGGTTGATACGAGCGCTTAGCCTGTGTAGGCCTTATAATTTTTGGAATGAGCAAGCTCCTGAGCAGCCTCAGTCATGACATCAAGTATCAATAATGCATTGACTGATATCCATTTTAGGTGAATAAAGTAGTTTGTTTAATGTCTCAACAGATTCCAATGGGCATGTGACAAGCAAATCAACCAATGCTTTTTGTCTCGTCTTCAGCTGATCTTCCTCACCTTCTACAGCCAAGCCAGAACAACGAAGCTGGACAAGTGTTCTCACAAAATCACTGGCTACACGTGCTTGAGCTCATCAGGTGATGCTCGGACAAGTTTTTTCAGCAACACCAAGAGCATTCTCCACCTGCAATATGAAAAATAAAATTAAATGATCCAGGAGCCAAGGATAATATTCATCCCGCTTGTGTAATTTACTACCAATGTTCTAAAAATCGGCCTAGACGACGCTAGACGGTGAAGGCCCGCTGCGGGGCAAATCATTTCGAAAAGTCAGTCTAGAGAGCTAGGCAGTCCTAAACGACTCCTAGGTGGCAGGCTAGGCGGTCCTAAGAGGTCTTTTATTTTTATTTTTTATAATTAATTGCGTGCTTTCTTTTTTTGGTTTCATGGCGGTAATATTTATAGAAATGGTGTACCTAATTTGCAAATGATGGATTTACTACAAGTTCATTCACTAGTAAAACGAATTGGAGCACCTTTGAGGAATACATACAAAGAAAAGAAATAAATTAGATACAACAAGGTTAAATAATTTAGTCTATTTCCAATCCAATGCAAGGATCATGAACAAGAAGAATTTAGTCTATCATCCAAGAATACTCCTTATTATGATTATATGCTTACTGTTTTTTAAATATTGAACTTTTTGGATGTATATACTTTGTGTATTCTTCTACTTCTATTTTTGCATTTTATCATTCTTTTATTATCCATACAAGTATAGTTTTTTTTTTTTTAAGTGTAATTAAGCACTTATTTACAAGTTATATAATAAATTTATATAAATCCGCCTAGGCCGCCTGGGCGCCCACCTAGACCCCGCCTAGCCGCCTAATCACTAGGCCCCGCCTAGCCGCCTAGGCACTAGGCCCCTACTCTCCTCCCGACTAGCGCCTAACATTTTTTAGAACTTATGATTATTGTAAGAACATTTGACAAAATTTTAAACCAATGAACATGGTTTACTTACCCTATCAGCATCATCAGAATTCCGAAGTGCAGCAACTACGTCGACCAATTGTGAAATTACACAAGCGGGATGAATATTATCCTTGGCTGCTGAAAATTACACAAATCATATGGCTGTAAAGATGACTCACTTGAAACATCAGACTCATTTCATTAGCATCGTCATTTTCATCGTCGTCCGAGACCGACTCGTAGTTTAGTGCAAGTGGATCAACCAACTTAGATTCATATGATTTCCAATTTCTACTCGTACCATCACTAGATTTATGGGGTTAAGCCCTTTTTCAGCACTGAGGTAGATGTTTCAGGATTGTCGATACCCTGTTGTATGCAATTTGACATGTCATCAAAATAAAGACCTTACGAGAGCATGACTCTATGGTGTTTCCAACAAGTCCAGTTGATAATGTTCTCACTAGATTAATAACGTGCGCATTCTAGAATTTATCGTCGGCCAACATGGTCGGTCGAGTATAAATGTTTAGAAGACCCTAAATTATATGTGCCTAGAGCTAGATAGACCCCTAATTTATAACCTTTTGATCTTGCTTCATCTGCAGCTAAACCAAAATCTGGACAGTCCCCAAATAATTCTGTCAAAAACCAGATAGCAACACCATGTAAAAGCCATATTGGGTGTCTACACCCACACTTATCAATTTACACAAATTTGAAATTTGAATCACTTGGACTTCAAAAATATTTGCACAGAAATTCAAAAGAAGATGAACAGTACTGGGCAATTGAGACTCACCTATAACTGCTACCGAGCTATGCTGCACGGAATAGTGATGCACCGTGAAGAGAACTCGGCGCTGTTGACAAAGTCCCAGAATAACCTTGAAATTTATAGGGGTCAAATTTTTATAGCCGAAGGAGCAATCATTTACTGAATTATAAAGAAAAACCCTAAATAAACAATCAATCAAACAGAACCAAATCATATTTACCAGCTTCAAAATTTTTGAAAATTTTCGTACTAAACCCAATTATAAAGGGAATGAGTGTACTGTGTACCTAATGAAGTATTACACCACTGTTGATGGGCAGACTGGGTAGTGCATGCAGCATCAGTATGCACTCCATAATTGTCTCTCTGTTTTTTCTATATGACAAATGATTTGGGAATTAATAGGGGGCAAAATGGATAGAACCAAGAATTGAAATCAAGAGAAAACACACATCCAATTTGATAACAGTCAAACTGCTAGTGTGGTGCAAAATGAGCAATTTTTAAACTCGTAAAAAATAATTGTACCCCTCTTCCCCCATTTTCTGTGCAATTCACACCACCTAAACAATGCAATAAAAAACCAAATGGAGGGATTTTACACATACATATATCATTCTGTCTCTCAAATTTACACCAATGATGCATGCATGAACCTCAATTAATCCCGTATTGCGAGTGAAATTTCCATTTTTAACCACTAAATCAGAACAACCACTGCCGGGGAAGCAAACATGAGCTACTTTCATAAAAAATTTAAATTAAAGACATAAACTTCACACAGCTAGAACCTGACAACCAGCCTATAAATTAAAACAAAAACCAGGCTCAAACATATGTATTTCCATAGATGCATGTATAAAGCTGTACATACACACCTGTATAATTGTGTAACCACAGAGGATTTGGGAAAGCTTTCAACATACCTGTGTATCGCAGTAGCAAGTTGAATTGCTAGCTTTCATCCCTTTTTCGGGCCGGGTTTTGCAGCATCTACATTCACCTATAGCGTTTAAAATTTTCAGTCAGAGAGCAAGAAGAAACGTAATAAAATGCTCCAAAGGGTAAACCCCAGCAAGCAATAGAGTATATATTGAATGCCATATGGCAATTAAGAGTCAAAGGTACCTTAAAAATAACATCTCTAAAATCAATTTACCAAACCCCTAAATCTAACAATTTTAACAAATACTATAGCATCAATTGATTTAACCCTATACACACTTAAATTTCTAGCCTATCATCTACGAACAGAATAAGTACAATCTTCCTAGCCTCTGTCATTAGCAAATAGCAGCAGGGCAAGTTACAATTGATCAATAATATTTCAGATATACAAAGTTTTAAATTATGGTTCTAGTCAAATGTAGAAAACTAACATCTCTCCTTTTCTCAGCTAATCCATTTTTGCATTTCCAAACCAATAATCGAGAAAGTGAGGGGAGGGCGCTACAAAGAAACGCATAAGAAAAAAAGAAAGAAATTACATTTGTGATCAACCATCAAAGTAACAAACCACAGTGAAAAATCAAATATTTGGCTTCGCATAGAGAATTAATTTTGTTTAATGGAATAATACAAAATCCCAGCCAAACATTTCACACAACCAGGGCCATCTATTCCAGTTTCCAAGCTTCATTCACAGAAAAAGAATTGGGGCCAATATCGATAATGCCATGAAAATTAAGACGATTTCATATTTGATTTAGTGAAATTTCACACAACCTAGAAAATATCAGCACAATTTCAGGCCAAAAATAAAATGCAACAAATAAATAGGCCGTGCAAACCTAACCGCATTGCACAAAAGATTCGGAAATGATTTTTTACCTTTTTCAATCAATTGATGCAGGCATGGGCTTCGGTTATGGTTCAGTCTCTGCAGGCATGGCTTTCGGTTATGGTTGTCTGGTATATTGGTTATACACAATGATCAATCACACACAAAGTTATGATAACACTTGAAAAGAATAAGGCAAATCAAGAAGGATATTTCCACTCAAATTAGATCATACACACACTGTATCGTCCTCTAAATCCTAAGAGAAAAAGTGTGAACACCACAACCTCAGGTTCAAAAATATTGTGACTGATCTATAAAATATAGCATATCATTTCATTAGACCTAGCCTAAATTCAGGTGCTTAAGCACATTAAGATATAATTTCTACCTAAAAGGAGACACCACAACAGCAGGAACAAGGCTTTATAACTTTTTCTTTTCTGGCAAGTAAATTAAACTGCCCCAAGCTAATACAATAGAAGCTTACTTTTCAACGGGAAGCTAGCTGTACTGTGATCTTCCATGAACCTACTAAAATGGAAACAAATTTCTACTCAAATTGTAAGAAACAACAACAACAAATTTCTACCCAAAATATAAAAAATGAAAAAAAAACCCTAGCAAATTCATGTTATCTTCATTATAAAGATGCTTTTGGAGAAGATAAACTAAATGCATCCACACATCTGTAAACACACACACCCATTTACTGTTTGAACATCTGCTTCTCTTCCCAATTTGCCAGATGTTCCAAGTTCACCTAATGAAAGATAAAACAATTACCATTAGAACTATCTTATCAACGACTGCAATTCCGAAACGGATCAACACAGGCTTCGAAACACATACAAATCAAAAGGTAAACTCTACAACCTTAGAAACTTTATTAATAAGATAGTTCAACACAGGCTTCGAAACACATACAAATCAAAAGGTAAACTCTACAACGCTTGCGGGAGGAGATGACGACGGAGGCGCCTTCAAGAGCCGATGCCTTGAGTGGAAGCCGTCACAATTGCTACCTTGTCGTCAAAGGGTAATAGGCAAACAATAAAATACAAATTCAACAAATCGGGAAAAAAGAAAACAGAAAAGGAAAACCTTACACCCGATGCTATAATCTGGAGGTGGAGCATGGAGCTGCAAGCTGAGAAAGGGTAGACTGAGAATGGCGAGAGAGAATCGGCGAGGGATTTGAGGGAAATTACAGAGTGAGAAAAGGGAGGGATGCTATAATCTCGAGGTGGAGCATGGAGCTGCAAGCTGAGAAAGGGTAGACTGAGAATGGCGAGAGAGAATCGGCGAGGGATTTGAGGGAAATTACAGAGTGAGAAAAGGGAGGGATGGGGGATTCGATGGATGGTTACACAGAGAGACTCGGGAGAGAAAAAGAGGGGAATGAAAAGGGGATGGAAACGGACGGAAAAGGCGATGGCAATTTTGTAAATAACTCAAAATCCATCCCAAGTCACTGTTCATATGAAATAGTGCAATTTCCCTTCCTACTTTAGACTAAAGTAATGATTTCCAATTTCTACTCGTACCAGCACTGAGGTAGTTGTTTCAGGATTGTCGATACCCTGTTGTATGCAATTTGACATGTCATCAAAATAAAGACCTTACGATTACGAGAGCATGACTCTATGGTGTTTCCAACAAGTCCAGTTGATAATGTTCTCACATGATTAACAACGTGCGCATTCTAGAATTTATCGTTGGCCAATATGGTCGGTCGAGTATAAATGTTTAGAAGACCCTAAATTATATGTGCCTAGAGCTAGATAGACCCCTATTCGGAATGGACACAAGTACAAATGTTTGAGGGCGTAGGGTGAGAGAATGACTTACATAATTCAGGGACACTGTTACGTTTCATGCCAATAATACAACATCGATATGTGTAAGTTTTTCTCTACAAAACAATGTATCACTGCAATAAAATGTCACAATAATAATATACTTGTGTCATGTAAATTACTTTCGTGTATCATCAAGAGTACACTAAACGGTGACACTACCAATTATTATTTTTAAAGACACAGTAGAGTAGGATTAGGACAAAAACACAGTAATTGCTTAGTGTTGTCGTTAAATCTTGACCGTTCGATCGATCTAAGGGTTGTAATCAAAATCCGTGAGATAGACGGACGCATTCTAGAATTTATCGTCGGTCGAGTAGTATAATGTTTAGAATACCCTAAATTATATGTGCCTAGAGCTAGATAGACCCTTATTCGGAATGGACACAAGTACAAATGTTTGAGGGCGTAGGGGTGAGAGATTGACTTACATAATTTAGGGACACTATTAAGTTTTTATGCCAATAATACAACATCGATATGTATAAGTTTTTCTCTACAAAACAATGTATCACTGCAATAAAACGTCACAATAATAATATACTTGTATTATGTAAATTACTTTCGTGTATCATCAAGAGTACACTAAACGGTGACACTACCAATTATTATTTAAAGACACAGTAGAGTAGGATTAGGACAAAAAACTCAGTAATTGCTTAGTGTTGTCGTTAAATCTTGACCGTTCGATCGATCTAAGGGCTGTAATCAAAATCCGTGAGATAGACGGACGTAATCTCCTACCAGGACTATGAGTACTTGGCTTCGACATCCTATATATACAACGAGACACGCCATTTACATGCATACATACATCATCGACGTTCAAGTTTCAAACCCTAACGTTGGCTCTTTTCCGTCTTTTCTCGTCGCCTGTTTTTTGTTCCTTCCAGAAAGTGGAATCTGAAGAATCCGACGGCAACGATGTCGATGATAGATAACGTGTTAAGGATGATAGATAACTTCGAGGACTGGTTTATAACCAAACGCCAAGAGCTTCAGAAATCTGCGAGAGTCGCTATGGAAGCTTTGCTCTGGGAACCCAGAAGTTTCCGGAACGTTTTGAATTTGGCAATCAAATTGACCAAGGCAATCGTATTGGTGCCCCTTTGTGTGCTGGCCTTGTATACTGTGCTCCTGATTAGGGTGGGAATCGCTTGTTTGATCTGCGTCCCAATACTTTTCATTATTTTCATCGTCCTTGTCGGTGTCCGTAAGTTACTGACCATAAGACTTCGACTTGCAAATTATGTAACCATGATTTCTAGTTGTTTGTTCGTTGCTCACCAACTGTCTGTTTAAATGACTGAATGAGTTTTTTTGTTTCGTTTCTTTTCTTGCAGGTTACGGTCGGGCACACTATCTGTTCTTCACAAGACGAAACCGCGCGGGGATGTCGTATGCCGACTTCATTGACAAGTTCGGCGCGTGGTTGACAAACAATCCTATTCCACCTTTCGAATCATTTGGTGAATCCGGTCGACATTGGGCACAGTACATGTGTGGGCTTCAAATTGGAAGAAGATTGAGGAAGATTTCAGAGTTACCATGGAATGTATGTAGAGATTATTAGATTGGATGACCATAAAATTAAAATTGCTGCTTCTGTTTATTTTCTCTCTCTATTAATTTAATTTTTCTTTCTAAAATAACTACGCCATTTTATCGAGAGGCGTATTGAACGACATAGCATCCGTAAGAACGACTTGTGACATTACGATACAAAAAAAGAAAGAAAAAAAAAAGCAATTTGTGACAAAATAGCTAGGATTATGGTTAAAGTATAGCATCTATATCTATATGTTATTATTCTTCATCACTTGGAAGCAACTATTTTCAATTAATTACACAGGAGCACGACAATGACTGAAACTTTAACATAGATAATCGAACTATTAGAGTCTAAGAAAATTTATTTGGCAAGGAATTCGGATTGTGTGGGTTAAAAGAGAGGCCATACCCTCACTTTTTGTTAGAAACAGACTCTCTATGTATGTTGTTCATCTCCTATGAACTCGTTCTGTGAAAGTCCCCTTGTTTCTCAAAGTTTAGGGCAAATTGCTTATGATATAGTGCTCGCTTAAGATTGCATTTTTTTTTGCATAAATGTAACGAGTGGAATTGTTTGGCCAATGATTTTGCTAATTATGGTTAGTCAATTTGGCTAAACTGTCTTAGGAAACGATTTTCACACTCTTTTTCATTCTTTTGCGCTTTTTTATTTATTTTTCTATCTAGCGGTTTGATTGAATAAAGTAAAAAAAAAAAGTCATAAACAAAGAGATATAGGCAAGGAAAAGAAAGGGGAGTGTCAAAATCATTTTTCGACTGGTAAATTCAACACATTTTCAACTAATATACTCCTTTTATAAAAAATAAAAAATAAAAAAATTTCATTTTTTTTGTCAGAATATTTTATTATTATTATTATTTTATAGTCAAAATTTAATATTTCACGTCTTCATGGACTCTCATTTTTCTTAATTATATTTAACTCACTAATGATATTGCTCTATTTAAAAAAATGTTAGTTTTTTTGTTGCAATTAATATTTCTTTTTTGAACGGACGAAGATGGCCTTCAATTTTAAGGAGGACTTGACTTGCATGGAACAAATGCACCGTCACATGGTGCCATGTGCCAATAAAATAATACAATGACATATGTTAGCTTTTTTCACATATCCTTGTGTTTACTGACACAGGACGCCACAGTGGCACTGAAGCCATGCAATACAAGTTGTTCTCACTTAATTAACATTTACAATTGAACCTCTATCAATTTAGCTAATATTAAATAATCGATAAGATAATTCCAATTTAATTTTAAGGTTAGGGGTGATTTTCCGTCCAATTGGATCTGAAACAAGTAACCCAATGCCAATCCGAAAAAGTTTTGGAACAAATATTAGTTCCAAATTAGGAATTTTGTATTTTCGAAATTTATCGAAATTTCGGAATTGATTTTATCTCAAAATTTTTGGAATATAATTCGAATTTCCTACATTTTGTGTAAGACTTTTGAAATTTTTTAAAATTTTATGTATCTGCTGTTCAATATTTTTTATGATTTCTTTTTTTGCAACATTTTGTATGAAATTATAATAGATAAAATAAAGAGTGATTTTGTATAAAATCAATACAAAGTTACCATATTGACAATAGATCATCAAATATTATGTTAAATATAAATAGGTCAATCATGTATTGTGATACTTAAATGCATTTAAAAATAAAACAAAAATTGCATAATTTACCACTACAGCTGGCACCCAATCTTCAACTGGCACCACACTTTCAACTAGCACCATCTTTCTCATATTTTTTATATTTTGGAATAGGTTAATACGGATCAAACACTGCAACACGGTGTCTGTTTCCTAATTCTGTTTTTTATATTTGGATTCAGACGTTGTGTTGCAGTGTCCATTTCACAGTTTTGTTTTTTTTCATCAATCACATGCCTCATACGTGCCCGTTTTTACTTTAGATTCAGACACTGTAATGCAATGTCTATTTCCCGGTATTGTTTTTATTTTTTGATTCAGACACTACGTTGAACTGTTCATTTCCTGGTTCTATATTTTTTCATCACTCACATGCCTTCTATGCTTAACACCTCACGTGACTCCTGATTTCTACATTTGGATTTAGACACTGCAATGCAATGTCTATTTCCTGTTCTGTTTTTTACATTTGGATTCAGACACTGCAACGCAATGTCTGTTTCCTGTTCTCTTTTTTTACATTTGGATTCAGACACTGCACCGTCGTGTCCGTTTCCTAGTTTTCAATTGTTGATCATAGAAGTCTGTGTTTTCTCATTTGAATTGCTGACCACAATGTCCCTTTTTTTATTTTCGCATTGTAGACATGTAAATGGTGGTGGGAAAAACGCGAACGTATAAGGAAACAGTTTCGTGAAATGGGAGAAATAAAATCCAAACAATTTCAATTGCTTAATTGGCAATCGAAATTGTCAAGCTCCAAGAAATTGCGAAAGCACCTGTCTACAATCGTGAAATGGGAGAAAGCACCTGTCTTTGATCTCCACAAATGAGAAAGCCCCCGCCTAGCCGTCTAGGCACTAGGCTCCTACTCGCTGCCCGACTAGTGCCTAATATTTTTTAGAACCTATGATTATTGTAAGAACATTTGACAAAATTTTAAAACCAATGAACATATATGGTTTACTTACCCCATCAGCATCATCAGAATTCCGAAGTGCAGCAACTACGTCGACCAATTGTGAAAATTACACAAGCAGGATGAATATTATCCTTGGCTCCTGAAAATTACACAAATCATATGGCTGTAAAGATGACTCACTTGAAACATCAGACTCTCATTTCATTAGCATCGTCATTTTCATTGTCGTCCGAGACCGACTCGTAGTTTAGTGCAACTGGATCAACCAACTTAGATTCATATGATTTCCAATTTCTACTCGTACCATTACTTGCTAACCATCACTAGACTTATGGGGTTAAGCCCTTTTTCAGCACTGAGGTAGATGTTTCAGGATTGTCGATACCCTGTTGTATGCAATTTGAGGTGCCCGGAGTTCTTTTTTCAAGGGTATGACAACCCAAACTCCCAGTCGATAGTGTCCCCAGTGCAGCTATCATCAAGGTATAGAGGATTGTTGGGGTCTATCACCTTGGAGAACACAAGCAATACTGATAGCCATTTTCCGAATTAAATGATTAGGGCTTTCTAGCCTACCTACCAGCAAAGACAAGATATAACAGGATGATAATGACCACTGGCGTTGGAGGAGAGAATACTGATAGAGACACAGAGAAGTATTTACAGCTCACTCCTTTGAGAATTGAGTGCATCACATCCTTGGTCTCGTTTAATTCTTCTTTAGACATGTTTTCCATGGAAAGGCCTATAGCTGCAGATGCATCTAATATTGCAAGATTAAGGGACAAAAAATTCCAAGAGAAGTATAATAAAACAATGAACTTCTCTCGACTGCAATGGGATTTTCTATAGGAAAGTTACAGGCATTTCATATTAATGTTAGGCTTGTAGCTTCTACAGGGTTTCCCATTGTAAAGTCCTGACATGAAAAATCATCAGGATTCATCGCAGACTATACCAGATGCTGGATAAAGACATGAAGGATACAAATTTTCTGTTCCATTGGGGCCAATTGCCCAGACTCTTTCTTAGACCAAACTGCTACCAGATGCTGCGATGTATCTAAGAAATTTCGGGTATTGTGACCTTAGCGAGTGAACTACTATCAGGTGGGCGTTCAAGAATAGTAAACTGAAGGATCCATCGCAGGCAACAAACACGAAATACTTTCCAGAGTAAAAATTTGTCAGAAAACATTGACCTAATAAAGAGGAAAGCTGAAATTAAACACTTGTATAACACAAAACAATACTGCAAAATGAAACAGTAGTAAAACAATGCATTCTTCCATATAACTAATTAAAGAAAATCAAGATTTCCATAACTGAGCTTCAACTAAGTGAGTTTCGTTTGCTCCGAAACCTTACCGGCATGAATTTTGTCTACTTCCTATCTGATGATGTATAATCAAAGACGGGACAGTAATCATATGCTTGAATCCAATATTTCAGAAATTACTACCCAAAAAAATGTCAAGGTTGATGGCCAAAAAAAAAAAAAAAAAAAAAAAAAACCAAGTATCTATAAAAAAATGTAGGCTACTCTATAGATCAACCCTGGAGAGAGGGGGAGGAGGAAAGAGTTTTTTTTTTTTTTTTTTTTTTTTTTGCATAAATTATCAATGTATATTTCAGAATTATGAAAACTCTGGGGAAACAAGCTAGCAAGATCTGCGCGCAGCGACAGAACATTCATACGTAAAGGCATGCGAAAAAAGGTGTCGATATACAAAAACAATGGCAAACCAAAACCACCGAAAGAGATGCCAAAGTACCCTCAAGCCAATCTCCAGGAAAATCAACCATCAGTTATGATCTTAAGATTTCATAAACTCCATCTGATTCAACGCCATTCTCTACCGGCCTGGAGCGTAGGTAATTTGACACATAGTTTTCTTCCCAAAACTCAAATTTTCAAAATTTACAGCCAAATAAAAGCCGACATATTTCAAGGGAATTCTACACACATAAATTTTTAAAAACACAATGGCAAGCTACGATGCATGGACACGCGAGAAAGCAACCGTATCCCGTATCTGACACGCTGAGGATACGGATACGCAGATGATAGGCGTGGATACGCGTTCGATACGTATTGGAGTGAAAGGATACGTTTGAGACTGATGAGATACGCGTATTGTATTGTCCAGATACATGTATCCTACTTTTCAGATACATTTGAAACTGAAATAGGAGGATAATCACAAAAAAAATCACAAAAAATCTGCATAGAATCGTGATTGATCGAACTTAGTTAACTGAAATCACTCTAAAATCAAAGGATAATCAGAAAAAAAAATAAAATTCGGATTTACCTCTAAGAAATCACTCTGCTTGGGAGACTTTCACAAATCCCCATTGACCGTCATCTGCAACTGTTCCGTGACCCGTCGTCTCCATCTGCAACTGCGCCATCGTCTCCCTCTTCTTCATCTACAACTGCTCCGTCGTCTCCTTCATTTGTCTGCAACTCCTGGTGAGTCGTAACTGGTGAGCTTTAGTTGTTTTTTCACTAGTCTCTCAGCTTTACTGATTCTACCCATTCGAAGACAATAATATTATAATACCAATTGGAAGACAATCTGATTCCCCTAGGAAAAGAATATAATATTATAGTACCCACTACCCATCCATTCCACTACCCGCATAGTCCATTCAAATCTGACAACTTTGGCTTTTCTGTTTTTAACTTTTTCTGTTATTATAATATTATTGTATTTTGCATATTATAGTATATTATTGTGTAGTGGTATGGATATTTAGATTATAATAACTTTTTCTTTACAGTGGATTAACTCTTACTTTTTATATGTTTGTTGATTTAGGAAAATGAATCACCCTAATAATCATGCAAATGATATTGCTAATCCGGATGATAATGCTAATCTGGATGAGATTGTTAAAAATGATCATACTCCGTTGTGGAAGTATGTCAAAACTTACAAAGGATCATACTCTAGGGTCAGGTTTCATTTGTTAAAAATGGCTGGAAATGGGGTCGCACCTTGCAGTAAGGTTACTGATGAAAATCTTGCAGAAATGAAAAAGTTAATTCGGGAGTGTGAATATAAGCTGAAGAGTTCTGCTCCTAAGAATGTTTCTTTGCCCAACACTGGTTCTTTTTGTTATGATCAACCTGAAGTGAATCTTGATCCAAAGAAGAGAAAAGGAACAAGTAGGCCTCTTAGTAAAGCTTTTAACAAGGAAGCTCGAGATCAATGTGATGCTGAAGTCGCAAGGATGTTTTATACAGGTGGCTTATCATTTAACCTTGCAAGAAATCCGCATTATCGAAACTCATATGTTCGAGCTTCTACACTTCCAGGGTATGTTCCACCAGGTTACAATGCACTAAGAACTACTTTTCTGCAACAAGAAAAGAGTCACATTAAGCAATGCCTCCAGCCAATCAAGCGCACATGGAGCACTAAAGGTGTAAGTTTGTGCAGTGATGGGTGGACAGATGCACAAAGGAGACCACTTATTAATATTATGGCAACTTGTGAAAGTGGGCCTATGTTCTTGAGGGCAATTAATTGTGAAGGTGAATATAAAGACAAGTATTGTATTGCCAACTTCCTTACAGAAGCTATTAAAGAAATTGGTCATGAAAATGTTGTTCAAGTGATCACTAACAATGCTCCTGTCTGTAGAGTTGCTGAGCTACTTATTGAGGCCCACTATCCCCATATCTTTTGGACACCCTGTGTTGTTCACACTCTTAATCTTGCTTTGAAGAGTATATGCTCTCCGAAACAAACAGATGTTTCGTATGATGACTGCAATTGGATTTCAACTATTGCAAGTGATGTTTGGTCCATAAAATTTTTTATTATGAACCATAGCATGAGATTGTCTATGTTTAATGAACATTGCAAACTAAAGTTGCTCTCCATTGCCGAAACAAGGTTTGTTTTCTCCAATTTTTTTCCTTTTTTTTTCTTATTCAATTATGAGCTATCCTAATTATTAAATTTTTCAGATTTGCTTCCACACTTGTGATGCTTAGAAGATTTAAGGAAGTAAAGGAAGGTTTACAACAAATGGTGATTAGCCCAAATTGGGCTTTGTACAAAGAAGATGATTTGGTTAAAGCAATGACGGTGAAGCAAAAAATATTGGATGAGTACTTTTGGGAGAAGATTGATTATATTCTTTTCTTTACAGCTCCAATATATGAGGTTATTAGAATGGCTGACACAGATAAACCTTGTCTTCATTTGGTGTATGAGTGGTGGGATGCTATGATTGAAAAGGTGAAAGCTGCTATCTACAGGAATGAGCGCAAGGCATTACATGAAAAAAGCAGCTTTTTTGATGCGGTGTATCGCATTTTATTAGAGCGATGGACTAAAAGTAGCACACCACTTCATTGTTTGGCGCATTCATTAAATCCAAGGTAATGATTTTGCTAATATCCTTATAAACTCTTCCAAAATTAATCTTTAGCTTTATGATTATATTTTTAAAGTGCTATTTCTTTTATTTTAGGTATTATAGTTCAGAATGGCTCCAAGAAGACCCTAGTCGGGTTGCTCTACACCGAGATGTTGAGCTTACAACTGAAAGGAAAAAGTGTTTTGAGAGATACTTTTCCAATGAGGAAATTAGAAGAAGTATCAATGTGGAGTATGCCTCTTTCTCTATGTGCTTGAATGACTTTGGAGCTATTGATTCTATGAATGATAGGTTTCATTTGGAACCAGTAATGTGGTGGATTGTCCATGGAGCTTCTACACCTAGTCTCCAATCCATAGCGTTGAAGCTACTTGGACAACCTTGTTCCTCCTCTTGTTGTGAAAGAAATTGGAGCACTTACAGTTTTATTCACTCTCTAAGAAGGAACAAGATTACACCACAAAGAGCCGAGGATTTGGTATTTGTGCATAATAATCTTCGTCTTTTATCAAGGAATAACGCAACCTACAAAGAAGGTATTAGTCAATTGTGGGATGTTGGAGGAGATGGCTTTGAAAACTTGGGTGAAGAAAGTGTCGGGATGCTTGATATTGCTAACCTTTCACTTGATGAACCGTCATTGGAGACTACTTTGATTACTGGAGGAGACATCATGAACGTGGAAGTTGAATGAGACTTTTTTTTTTTTAATTTCATTTGGATGTTCTTTTTACTTTTTCAAGTTTTAAGACTAATTGCTTGTTGGATGGACTATCTTTCTAACAGTTTAGAGTTTATTGAATAATAAATTTGAATGCTTATTTTATAATGTTTTAGATATATTTTTATTTATTTATTTATTTATTTATACATATTTTTAATTGCCGTATCCTTGACGTATCGTATCCTCGTTTTTTGAAATTTGATGTATCCCCGTGTCGTATCCCCATATCCGTGTCCATGCATCATAGATGGCAAGGTAACTAGAGCTAAAAAAAAATACCAATTAACGGAAACCGAGCAGATGACGAAAATGCGGCTCCTCCATAGAATGCGTGCCACCACTCTCTCCTCTCATCTGCCGAAGGAGCCTCGGAACTAAGTAGCTGCACACCAAGGAGGAAAAAATCGATAATATCGGCAAAATATATCGCCGATATTATCGTTTTTTTTGAAGTTCCGAAATTTTTTTAACTATCCAACCTATTTTTGTCAGAATATCACGATATTATCGATAATATCGCGATATTTTCAAAATTATCGATAATATCACGATATTTTATTAAAAACATACTTAAATATGTTGAGAAAACTCAACACATAGTTAACTTGATCATGGCCCAAAGGCCAAACAAGTTTTGATTATCTCACCAGGGGAGTGTGAGTTTTATAGGAAAAATTCATTGCTCACTTCCTTGCATGGGCGATGTGGGACTCGCCCAATGGGGGAAAAAATCAAAATTTCGGCCGAAATTTTGCACTCACTTTAAAACGGCCATAACTTTGTCAAAACTCAACGAAATCAAGCAAGACAAAAACTAAAGTTGTATCCCTCGAAGAGACGAAGAGAATGGTACCTCACACAATGTCTGAATCGTAGTGGTTTGGCCGGAAAATGCCTCGAAAGTCACTGAGGTCGCTGAGGTCGTCGGAAACTGGGTAAGATTCAAATGAGTATAACTTTTTCAATACACAACGAAATTGAGTGAAACAAAAATAAAAGTTGTAGCCCTCGAATAGACGAAGAGAATGGTACCTCACACGATGTCTGAATCGTAGTGGTTTGGCCGGAAAATTCCTCGAAAGTCACTGAGGTCGCTGAGGTCGTCGGAAACTAGGTAAGATTCAAATGAGTATAACTTTTTCAATACGCAACGAAATTGAGTGAAACAAAAAGGAAAGTTGTAGCCCTCGAATAGACGAAGAGAATGGTACCTCACAAGACGTCTGACTCGTTGTGGTTTGGCCGGAAATTGCCTCGAAATCTACTGAGGTCGCCGGAAACTGGGTAAGATTCAAATGAGTATAACTTTTTCAATACGCAACGAAATTGAGTGAAACAAAAAAGGAAAGTTGTAGCCCTCGAAGAGACGAAGAGATTGATACCTTGCACGTCAGCCAAAATTCAATTGACACACTCCTAGCTTCCAAAATTCAATACTTTTACTTTATATCAAGTTGAAAAAACATAATCGGCATCCAAATTAAATTAAAGTTTAATCTTATTCAATGTATTGATTTTCAATCGTTAATTGATATATACTATAATTTGGAACTTCAACGCCTAGACGCATGCTTATGTGTAAGAAATTTAAAATTGTCAAATTTGGCACATTATTCTTCATCATTTTATTCACTTCCCTTTTTTTTTTTTTAATATCCTAAATAAAACCTCCAAATATTGTACTAATTAATTATATATAAATGATTATGGTGTGTTTAAACTTCTTTCATTAATTACTACATATTTTCTACACTCACAATGTTTGCCAGCTCGCTATATAATCAACTTAAATCAGTTAAATCCATCATGCAATGCATTTCCTTCCAATTTTTTGTGATAAACTAATAGATAATTGACTAAATAAACATCCTACAAAGTTTCATTAAAAATTTCCAAGTTTTTCTTACAATTTCCGTGGTTTCCATGTAATTTTTATCGATATCGATATTATCCCGATATTTCCATCGATATTTCCGTGTTTTCGGACTACCGATATTTCCGATATTACCGATATTTTCTTCCTTGCACACACAACACAACAACAGAAGCTCAGAACTCAAGAAAAATCGCAGCAACAAATAAATTTCGATAAAATTCACAAATTTGCCAAATTCATTAGCTCACCTGCTCTCTGTATTGCTCGTCAATAGCACTTGAAGTTCCAAATTTCACATCATTCAACTTCCAAAAAATCATTCTTTCACTTACAATCAAACGACACAAAAAGTGAAAAAAGTTCAATCTTTTGGTTTTGGAAATTTCTCGGAAACCAAACAGGCGTTTCAGGAACTCGGGTAGAAGTTGGAAAGTTACCTGAGAGAAGAGAGGCGTCGAGAGGGAAGAGAAGAACAAGCGCGCAGATGACTTGGTATACGTGCTTCGCCTTCTTCACGGCTGCGATTTCTTCTCTTCCACTTCGCTTCATGTTTTGGAGCCTTCTCCTCCGCGTTTGTTTGTTTCTCTCTGCATCAATCTGAAGCTTCTTGCAGCCGATTTTTTGTTCACCGATACGTAGTGAGTCTATTTTTTCGGCGGGAAAAATAATCAGTTTCGGGAAGAGACCGTTTCGAGACTTCACGGCTGCGTTTGATTTCCAAAAATACACAAATTTTTTAGTTTTTATTATGTTAATTTTAATTTAAACTTTTTTTCCTATACCATTTGCAATTTAATGGGGAAAGTTTGCGAAAATAATTTTTATCGTCTTTTGTTCTGTATTTATCTTTTTTATTTAAGTCTTTAGATTTATTTTTTATTTATGTCGTTTAATAGTTTAAAAATTAAAATAAATATTATAAAAAACAAATTTTTGCAAACCGTCTCTGTAATAATTTATAATTTAAGCCAAATCAAGCATAAAAAATATATTTATTATCAAATATCCTTTCCTTTTTAATGTCATACCCAAAAGTTAAAAATAAAAATAGTTTCATTTTTTCTAGTAATTTTTGGAGAATAATTTTGTTTAGCTAATTGACCAAAAAACCAGAAAGTCTGTTAAACCTTAACAAACCCGAGTTGAAGCATAGAAACGGCGGTGCTAAACCTCTTCTCTCCAAGCTCCGGGCCAAGCCGGTCCGGACCGCCTCGGGCATCGCCGTCGTGGCCGTGATGTCGAAGCCTCATCGGTGCCCCACATCGCCACCACCGGTAATATTTGCGTGTACTTACTGCCCCGGTGGTCCCGATTCGGACTTTGAGTACAGCACTCAGTCTTACACTGGATAGAAGCCTACTAGCTTGCGCGCAATTCGGGCAACGTATGGCTTTTCTCTAGTTCATTTGACGCATTTTATCGAACACTTGATAGGGAATTCCAGTTTTATGTTATTCATGATTCGTTTCGAAGTTTAAAGTTTTTGGCTTGATTGATTTTTCACCATGAAATTGAGAGCTTTGTAATGAAGAGATTATTTGAAGGAATTGGTGTTTAAAATTGGATTATTGAAGTTAATTTGGTAGTTAATCATTTGGTTTTTGTGTGTTTAGATACAACCCATATGTCCAGGCTAGAAGCAGGATAGATCAGCTGAAGAGATTGGGTCACAGTGTAGACAAGGTTTGGTCTGTTCTATGTTTAGAGCTTAAAGAGTTTATTTTTCGGGTTTGCAGATTTCCATGATAGAGTAATATGCATAGTTGTCGCCTTATAACTGGTACTGAATTTGTGTTTTCAGGTCGAGCTCATCTTAATGGGCGGTACTTTCATGTCGTTGCCCGCGGATTACTTTAGGCGATGTCCAACTGATGGCTGATCAAATGACTCGTTTTAGCCTTCTGGCCCTCTAAAATTTTTCAAGATATTAATATTTTTATTGAATAGTACATGGTTATATTTGCCTCCGTCTTCAACCGAGGGCCAAAAGCCCATAGGGCTAAACATAATTTATTATTTAAAAACTGCAACTTAAATTCAAATTCAACGGCTAAGTGACGTCAGCATGACGTTAGCTAACCGTTGTTTAATGTTGTTTCATGTTACTTAATTTAATTTAATGTTGTATAATGGCTTAGGAAGTTATAGGAAAAAATAGAATTTAAAAAAAATATATGAAACAAATTTTGTGAAATAGAAGTTATAGAAAAAAATGGAATTTAAAAAAAATATGAAACAAATTTTGTGAAATAGAAGTTATAGAAAAAAATTAAATTTTAAAAAAATATGAAACAAATTTTGTGAAATAGAAGTTATAGGAAAAAAAATATGAAACAAATAATAATAATGTAAAAAAAAATCAAATCAAATGCAACGGCTAGTAGCTGTTTCATTTGAATTTTTTCTTAATAAATCATGTCGGTTATAACCGACAGGAATAACAAAACATTAAAAAAAAAATAGTCAACCCGGGGCTAGCTGGCTGACCAAAAGCAGCCAGCCCTTTGGCCCTTTGGCCCTTTGAAATTCTGTGGGGCCCTCCCAGATTCCCGAGCCCTCTGGCCTAGCCCTCGGTTTGAGACGATTTTAAGGTTACTTTCGACCTTCTGGCCCTCTGGACCATTCGGTTGGAGATAGCCTTATTAGAAATTGGAGTCCATACGAGGATGTGGCTCGTGACATTCTTTTTGCTTGGCAAAGGATGCTGGTTTTAAGGTCAGCCTAGTCCCTTATCATAAAACTCACTTACCTTCACCGTGGGAAAAGAACGGATTTTGGACCTTTTATATCTACAGTGACAGGAGATTAATCTTTCATCAAAACAATTTGTGAGCCCATAATTAAGCGAGAATATTTATCAAAAGGGATGTGATATTCACACACTCCATTTTACTTTTCACACATTTTTCTAATTTTCGGCCTTCAGATCGGATAAATTGAAGAAGATCAACGGATATAAATTAACAAAGGGTGTGTGAGAAGTAATTTGGAGTGTGTGAATAGTACACCCCTTATCAAAATCTAATTGGTTTTGGTGTTATCATTCACTTTATCTAAAAGTTCAAGAAGAAGTATGTGTTTGTATGGCTGAACATAAATAAAAAATATGGGCAATAATGTGATTCCACACAAACCAAATCTCACTTCTGTTTTTTTTTTTTTTTTTTTCCTTAAACTTCAACTACATGTGATTATAACATGTCTCTAATATTTGAAAAAAAAAAAGTCACTCTCCCTTCTGTCCCCGCTCCTATGTTTTTTCTCACTTTCTCTCTTCTTTTAAGAACAAAAATAAAAAATGTTCACACACACTTTATATGTGGGCATCCACTAGTACTATTATTAAGCAAAGAGCTTTGTCAACTTTCTTAAAATGACAATCATGTTCTTATTTTTCCTATGTTAACCTTACTTTTAGTACACAATATTTATAAATATAAGTACAAAGTAATAATTATGTAATATATTAAAATAATAAAAGATATGTCCACGTTAGAAGAATATGTCCCATTATTGTCCCATTTTTCAAAAATAAATTTTTTTTTTAAATCTAATCATATTATTTAATAAATAAAAAATGAAATTGTTCACTCAGAGTGATCTGCTGGTTTATATTTAACAAGGAGACCATCCAGGCATCAATGATTAACTGGTACGCATGATTGGTGTGTTCCCAGACCACCTATGTGATTGAAGACTTATTTAAAAGAGTGGTCAAGAATAGGTAGAGCTGTTGAGCTACTTGGAGTCTAAAATTTGGCAAGAAATAAGCCATAGCACTTTGGTAGATTGATATAGAATTTATTCTGAACTATAAATATATCATGCATGGTGGAACTGTTGCGGGAGTATTAATGAAAATGAATAATTACGATCATTCGTTGGAGTCTTCAATTAATAAAATATGAGATTTATAAAACATAAAAGTAAAAGTAGTTGCGAGTTCATTCTCGGAGTACCAAAATCTATGTTTAGCCTAAAGTCACTAAATAAGGGAGCGAAGCCCCTCAGATAATGTCTGATAAAATGGTCATATTTGATTTCAAATTTGTGGACTGAAAAATGATTATTAAAAAAAAGAAATTGAGTTATCTGTTAATTGGGTTAACATAATAAAAGGGTTGTGATTTTCACACACCCTTAATTTCCTTTCCCACACCCCTTCTTATTTTTTAATACTTAATTGATATCTTACTATTTACTCTTCCATATATACCCTTTTTACTTTTTGACTTTTAAAAGTTGTTTTTTATTTTTTGATTGTGTTGTAGATTGGAGTAGCAGCCCGATTCTTCCCACTCCCCTGCTTTTTCCCTTGCTTTCTCCCGCTTCTTCCCCAAAACCCAGACACCTCCTGCTTTTTCCCCAAACCCAGACACCTCTCGCAGCCCGATTCCCTCGCCGCCGTAAATATTTCCACTGCTTCTTCGAAGCCTCCCACTCCCTCCGCCAAGCCCAACGAGAGACCTATTCTGAAATTTCCACTGCTTCTTCTCTTTCCGTTCCCCTGTCCTCTTTATTACTTCTTGTGAAAAACCACAATGGATGACCTAATAATAACAGATGAAGAACTCCAGATGGACATTGAGTTGCAGAAGATATTGGATATGGCATGCAAGGAGGATGGCATGGAAGAAATTTCAGAATGCATTCCTCCTTTTAACACTTTTGATGGTAATTTTCTAAAGTATTTTCTCAAATTATTAAGATTGATTTTGGAATTTAGGGTTTTTGTTCTCTTCTTGCCTCAATTTGTTTTTTAGGTTTAGTTTTTTCTTTCCCTAATTTGTGGTTCAAATGATAATTGAATGAATGAATACTGGTGGTTTAAGATAAATGTATCATGTAACAATGAAGTAACTGAATCCAGGGGAAGAAATCAGAAAATCACGAAACTAAGTTTGTAAATGTTTTTGACATCAGAATTTTTTTTACAAGAATAATGAAAAATTAGGCAATGCTCAGAGACTAAGGAGCAAAAGATTAAAAACTACCATGCTTACGTGAATGCACCGGGCAATGCTCTATAACATATTTTCTCTTCATGTACACGGCAATGCTCTATAATAGAGAATATTGATTTGTGTTGGTTTTGGGGAAATTAATTTTCTATTGGAATCTATTGGTCCCCAATACACTTTAACTTAATGGTAAATTGGTATTAGGTTTAATTGTTGTGGTTTTACCTAGGCTCCATGTTTTGGTGTAAACTTGATATAATGCATACAATGCTTTGGTACAATTTGATACTTAAATGTCTAGTCCATTGATAAAAAGTATATATTCTACATATATAAATGTGTTGGTTTGTGATATATAGGAAGTCAACCAACGATTGATGAGCCCGATAAAATGCTTTCTTTGTTGGCGAAATGTTTTGAAAGTCGAGAAGACCTCATCGGGGAAGTTCGTAAGATAGCATTAATGCAAGGGTTTGCAACCGTTATTAGAAGATCTAAGACAAATACATATGTTGTATTGGTTGTGATAGAGGTGGGGATTATCGAGCCTCTAAAACTTCACTAGATGAAAGAAAAAAAAACTCAGGATCTCGCCTCATAAATTGTCCATTTGAAGTCAAGGGGCGTAAAAAGAAATGTGAAGAATTTTGGAAGCTAGAGATAAAAAGTTTATTGCATAACCATGAACTTTCAAATGACATGTGTGGACATCCTTCTTGTCGTCAATTTTCACAAGAGGAAATCTTACGAATTAAAGAAATGAGTAAGGCTGGTATACCACCACGCCAAATTCTATCTTCGCTTCGGCAAGGCAATCCTCATCTTCAAGTAGTTTCTCGAAACATCTATAATCTAAGAGCTAAGATTGTGAAGGAGAGTCTAGCTGGGCGTCCAGTTATTCAAGCATTATTAGAAGAACTTGGTGAAGGTGGTTTCACTTATAACATTGAGTATGATCATGAAGGCCACTTGACTCATTTGATCTTTGCTCAACCCTTGTCTATAGAGTTGACCAAGAGCTACCCATATGTTTTTGTGATGGATTGCACATATAAGACCAACAAGTATAAGATGCCATTATTGGATATCATAGGAGTTTCAAGTTTCAACACATCCTTTTATTCTTGTTTTGTTTTCATGCAAAATGAGAAAGAAGAGGATTATGTGTGGGCTCTAAAAATGTTTAGTAAGATTTTGGGAGTTGATAATCATCCTATGGTGATTATAACGGATAGGGAGTTGGCATTAATGAATGCTATACGCATTGTCTTTCCGAGTACTTCCAATCTTTTGTGCGTGTGGCATATTGAGAAAAATATACTTGCAAATTGTAAAGCTCATTTTGAGGAAGAAGTTGATTGGATTGATTTCATTTCTACTTGGACAATTTTAATCCAATCTCCTAATGAAACATCATTCAATGAAGCTTGGAGTCGTTTTGAAGTTAAGTACGAGGAGAAGAAATTTGTTTTGAAATATATTCTTGGTACTTGGCTTCCATACAAAGAAAAGTTTGTAAGTGCATGGTCAGAGAAAGTTACCCACTTTGGTAACCGTGTTACTTCAAGAGCCGAAGGTGCACATGCAACGCTAAAAAAATATCTTCAAGTTTCAACTGGAGGTCTTCGCGAGGTAAAAGAAAAAATATGCCTTGCTATTGAAAATCAATTTCAAGAAATCAAAACTCAACTTTCAAGTGAAAAAGTTAGAGTTTCACACAAGTTTCGACTTCCCTTCTTCAAAGAGGTTGTTACTCATGTATCTAGATTTGCATTGAATGAGTTATATAATCAATATGAAGCATCAAGTTCTTCTGATCTTCCATCTCAATGTAAGGGTCATTTTCTCAAGACAATGGGTCTTCCTTGTGCTCACATGATTAGAGAGATGAATATTGAAGTCTTGCAACTAAATGACATATTTCCATAATTGAGGATTGATAGAAGATTGTTTGTCAATGATCGTCATGTAAGCTTGGACAATGAACAAGATCAAATAAGCGGCCTTCTATTGGTGTTTAAAGATAAGTATGAAAAGTTGCCTCTTACTCAAAAAGAGGATACCAAAAGGCAACTTTGTGAATTTATTGATACTTCTCTTCCATTAACTCTTGAGCCTAATGTTAAACCTCACAAAGGTCGTCCAATGGGTTCTAAAAATTAGGGGTGGGCACTTAGAACCGAAAACCGAAACCGAAACACGAACCAAATCGAACCGCACCGAATGGTTTGGTTTTGCGGTTTTGGAACTGTTTTGGTTTTGAAACCGAACCGCATCATAGAAAACGGTTTGGTTTCGGTTTTGGCTTTTGAAAACCGCATCGAAACCGAACCGCACCGCAAATATTAATAAACATTTAATTAAATGTCCATATTAAATTTCATGTTTTAATTGGTTGTTTGTTAGAATCCATGCACTTAGTATGGACACAACCACACTGGAATATCATCATTCATCACTTTCTTTCGTTCATTAACTTCAAGGACCTTTGTTATTTTATACCATCACACACACACACACACACACATATATGTACAAGGGTGGACTAATCTTGTTATCAAGAGTCGAACACTGATCTAATGAAGTCCACTTATTTGAAGCATGATATCACATATTCTAGTATGAAAGTTTCACTCATGTTTAATGAATTCAAAGTTATTCAACTTGTTTTATGTTATACTTTGTACGGGACACCTTTTTGTTGCACAAACATATTTTAACATCACAACTGCATGCAACATGCTAATTGTTTATATAACAAATGTATTTTTCCTATTGCTACTGGGAAATGCTTATTAATATGTTTAATTTCAAATTGTACATTTTTTCTTAAAAACCAAACCGAAACCGTTTGAAACCACACCAAACCGAACCAAACGATTTGGTTTTATTTCGGTTTTGGCTTCAAAACCGCACCGAACCAAACAGCAAACAATTTTAGTTTTGGTTTTGGTTTCACTCAAAACCGCACCAAACCAAACCGTGCCCACCCCTACTAAAAATAGAAAAGAATCAAGCTCTACAAAGCGTGGTCCTTCAAAGTTTGAAATAGTGGAGAAGGCTCAGAAACGTGCTCGACGGGTATGTCATTTTTTTTATTTATCTTTTAATATTGTCTACTATGGTCATGATTATTTATATATACGTATAACTTAATGTTCATTGTTTATAGGTGTGATGAGCATAATGATTTGCCAAAGAAACTTTTTGTTAATAATAGCTTAGATGTGTAAAGAACACATTAAGGTACATATATTTTTGTTGATTTTTCCCCATAAAAATACTAATTAAGTTTGTAATTTTCTTTCCTTTTGTTGACATGTTTTTATTTTCTTGTAGGTTGGAGTGCATGGGTTTCATATCTTTTGGTAATATTGACATCTCCTTTTGAACACAAGATTAAAGGCCAAACATAGTGTAGGCAGAATGTGAAAGCTTGTAATGATATCTGATGTATTTTTTGGGGCATGAGGCTACTATTATGGGGATTAAAGTGTATGTGGATTGCTTACTAGTATTTTGTACAATTCATGTAACTTATGCATATATGCTATATCATTAGGTAATCGTTTTATTTTTATTTATATAATAGGTGTTTTATACTTGTTTTGGGATCTCTCAGATTAGGCAGTAGAGCTTGAGTTACAAAAGGCATATATGGTTGAGTGTTAGAAAAAGAAAAAAACAAGTTTAAAATAAAATAACAAAAGTATTTTAAAATTTCAATGGTCAAAAAGTAAAAATGGTATATATGGAAGAGTAAATAGTAAGATATCAATTAAGTATTAAAAAATAAGAAGGGATGTGGGAAAGGTAATTAAGGGTGTGTGAAAATCACAACCCTAATAAAATAAGGAGAGAACATTACATTCATACATTATTGAGTTAGTAGCTCACCCATGACAAGTGTTGAATTAGAGAATTGAAAAGTAGTTTATTTTTTTTCAATAGGTGGTGGCGAGAAAAATACAACCTACTCGGTTTCAGAAGACGATTTACAAATTGCCACGAATATCAAAGAATTGGTCTTTGTCCAAAAGTTTTGGTTTTTGTCCAAAAGTATTGGTCTTTGTCTCATGCCGTAATTATTTTCCAATTTTCATAGATTATAATCTTCGTCTCCATCTTCATCTCCGTCTCATATTTCATATTTAATTTCCATAGATTATAATCTTCGTCTCCGTCTCATATTTCATATATTCATCGAGCTCATCAACAAGGAGTCCAATCATTGCAACTCTTTTGTGAGCTTCCATATGCCCCTGAGTATGTTATTATGCACTCTTACTACCATAGATATCCTTCTAGAATATATTTGGAATAAAGTATTACGTGCTTATGAGCTTTATCTCATCATTTGTTTTACTTTTTTCTCTTATTATATATGTCACTCAGATTTAGAGCATTCAGCCTTGAACACAAGATTTTGAATTCGATTTCTTCTTCATCAATGTTGCTTGTATAATAGAAAGGGGTAAGCTATTGATTTGTACCATTAAATTGAATTTGCTTTATGATCTTCTGTCGACTTTTGGACTTTGTTGCAGGTATAAAAGTTGATCCTTACCTTGAGCTCTATCTTCTTGTAAATTTTGGTAGAATTTGGAGTTAGTCTGAAAATTGAGAAACCACCATGTGTGGCGGCGCGAGTGAAAGTCAAAATTTATGGATTTTGGACAGCGAGACGTTCTCGATGTCCTGAGCCCTTATCCAAAATCCATTCATTACGATGGTTCGATTATTCAATTTTTGGAATAATTGACTGCCGTATGATTTTTGTAATTGATGACAATCTAATTGTTGGATTGTCGTACAATTTTTTGAGCATCATAGTTATTAGTTGTTTGATCTTTGAGAACTTATGGATTGGAAATCCGATGTGCTAATCTCCCGAATTAAATAACCTACGTTGTTGACCTTAGAGGACCTACTTATCGACAGTTGACTTTTTAGTCAATGTGCCCTATTCTAGAGTGTCGTTGTTATAGAATGTTATTGAGGCTTGATGGAGCTTAGTTGTCTCATTTCAATGGTGTGTGGTTCTCGGTTGACATGCATCTCGATTTACGTTCAAGTGGCACTTGGTCTCGTTTTATGTGTCGGTCTTATTAAGTTTCTTAAGTGGGGTTTGTGTATTGTATTAGGTTCCTTGGAGCGGAGTCGGTGAATCCGAAAGTGCAAATAACCCAGGTGAGTGACTTTAATATTATATGATATGGTTATTACCCATGAGAATTTCCTTGTTATGTACTTTGTGGATATAACATGAATTTACAAATGATTTTATGGAAATGTGTGCCACTATGCTATGTTTACTTGATGATGCTATTGGAAAATATATATATGTTATGCCTGAAAAGATTGTGGTACATGAGGGCTAGTAGAAGACCGCTAACCCAATACATGGGGTAATGTGGATAAAATCAGAATCTGCACCATGTAGAAGTGGTACATGGATGGTCGTGCTTGGTTAATCCGCAATGGGGGACCATACTACTTTGGGATCGTGCTTGGTTAATCCAGGATGAGCGATCCTTATTATTTAGGTATGTCCATACATATTCAGGGGTGATCATGCTTGGTTAATCCGCAATGGGTGATCACTCTCTATTAGTATCAGTAGGAGTGACTCTGCTTGCTTGGTTAATCCGTTATGGGAGGGGGGGACCACATCCTAATTGGTTACCTATTGTAGGCCTCGGCCAAACTGTGTCTCTCTATAGCCCTAGACTATTTATTACATATATGAAAGATGAGATTGAAGGCATGTGTGGCTCAATCTAGAAAGTGAATTGAATCAAATAGTTTACATGATGGTGTTGCCTTAAAGAGAATGATTTCGGATGTAACTCATTCCTACTCATAACGAAGAGTTGTAATGATGAAATAGATACCAATCTCATTCCTACACGTGATTGTATTATTGATGTTGTGTCATTCATACACAACTTCGGGTTGTGTGATGACTAAGAATGTTGTTAGAAGACGTGTGGTGAGATTCAAATTGATTAACCATTCCTATACGTATAATGAGGTGTATGGTGGTTAAATTATGAAATATGTGGCAATTGGACCCTTGTGATTATTCGGAAAATGAGAAAGGCTAGTGGTGAGTTACAATTCGAAGAGAATGACAAAATGATATTGACGGTGATTAAATTGACCCAGTATTCAGAGAAAAGTCATGTGAGGACATAACACTACTTCGTAGCTTATCCGGGTTTTGATTTGCCTGGTGCACCATTCCCAAGGCGTAGGGTTATTTTGCAGAGCAATGGGTAGAGGTTAGAGAAGAAGGTTGCAGGTTATGCAGCTGTGTGGGCATCGCATTAGAGAATAGGATTGCCACCCTTTGTTGTAAGCTATTTCCGCTAAGCTCTGATGTATATTATATGTATGAGTCTCAGTGACTCTTATGTATTTTATATTGTACTACTACTGTTTTACCGTCGCGTGTCGATTCCGAACATGTCGATCGGGGCATGACACTATTACATATATATTGAACATATAAAATGCAAAATGAAAATTTTCTATTTTCTGTAAAGCCTATAACAATTTATTGAAAAAAATGAAAGTATTCAACAAGTCTATTACAATATCTTGAAAAAATAAAATGCAAAGTAAAAGTTATCTATTTTTTGTATAGGCGGGTCTAGGCGGGCGCCTTAGTAGGTCTAGGCGTCATTTATTAATTTTCAAATTCCTAGGCATTAATCGGGGCGGTGGCCAACCACTGGGCGCTGTTGGGATTTTTAGAGCTGTGGTTAACATGTTGATTTAACATGTTGACCCAAAACCTGTTATTTCTTTGTCGTTCAATGTCTGATTAACGGGTCGTGAAAAAAAAATTGTCTGGTATTTGTGTAGAGTTCAATCTACTATACCCAAAACATTCCGTTCTTTCGACGTGTGTACTTTCATTTAACAACAATTTTGTGGTACTTGTCAACTGCCACCTACAAAGAATTGAAACTTTTGGTTATCCTTAACACTGACAAAAATCCATGACAATTGGTGGAAGAATTAGATTGAATGAGTTCGAAATTTTCAATCATAGATTTTTGTTCTTGCACCAAATTCTTTAATTCTGTGTTCTTGCAAAAAAGACTCGAGAAGTAGTTTTCGGACTTTTGAAGTTTGGCCCTTTGTTAAACTGAATGAAAGTTAAGAACAGAAATTTAAATTTCTTAAGTACCTTATTTAGATCTTGGTTTCGTTTTGAAAACTAAGCACATAGTTTGTTAAATACAAAAATTTATCCACTACATTCTTTTTTTCTTTTTCTGTTGTTTTGAAACTTGTCTTTTCTGCAGACAGATTGCATACCAAGTATCGAAAGCCAAAATGGAGTCAGCTGCATCACTATTGATTGGGAAAATTGCGTTCATTCTTGAGAACGAAGCATCTTCCATAGCGGCAGTCCGTGATGAAGTTGATGAGCTTAAGCTGGAGCTCATAAGCATGAAATCTTTCTTAATAGATGCTGAAGGCAAGGAACCACAAACAGAAGGAGAGAAAACGTGGGTTACAAGCGTCAGAGATTTGACCTGCGATGCTGAAAATGTCATTGATGAGTTCATGTATCACATATATGACAAGAAGAGTGCGACTCCATTTGCAAAATTGCTCCACAGAACCATTTACTTTCCAAAGAATCTTTGGCATCAGCATCGAATAGCCAAAAAAATTACAGAAAATCACAAAAAAAGATCAAAGCCATTCCAGAGAGGAATGAGAGATATGGTGTCTCTACAATAGAAGGAACAACTTCGGATAGTGTTCCCAGATGGGTGAAGAACAAAGCCGAGTCTTCTCTTTATATTATGGAAGACGAACTAATCGGGATTGAAGACAAGAAGCAAAGGTTAATGGGGTTATTGATGAATGGAGAGGAAAATGAAATGGTTGTGTCTATAGTCGGGATGGGAGGATCAGGCAAGACAACTCTTGTTGCCAATACCTTCAACAACGAAAATGTAAAGCGGCATTTTGACTGTTATGCATGGATCACTGTTTCTCAAACTTTTGTGATCGAAGACTTATTAAAAAATCTGATCAAGCAATTCCACCAAGGAAGAAAGGAAGAGATGACTGCACAATTGGATTCCATGAGTTACAAAGAATTGTTAGAGATGTTGTCGACATACTTGAAGTCTAAAAGGTACCTAGTTGTATTGGATGATGTGTGGGACATTAAACTTTGGCAAGAAATAAGGATACCACTTCTTAATAGACATCATGGAAGTCGAATCATGCTTACAACTAGAAAGAAAGACATAGCATTCTATTCTTTTGAAGTTGAAAGTCGTCCTATTGAAATTGAACCCTTGGGAAACAATGAAGCTTGGGAGCTCTTTAGCAAGA